TGAAAAAATATCTTCTTTAAAAAATGTAATAAAGTGTGATGACAAGTTTAATCAAAGTTGTCGCATCAGGATTGTAAAATGATAAAATATTTGTTATACTTGTACTTGATAAAATACTTGTAAAAATAATGATGATAAAAAAATCGAACAAAAAATTAATTTTCTCATATTTTGATACCATGTTGGGTAGGGATACATAGAATAGAATTTTATATTTCTGCCATGGTTTATCCTTTAGAAAGATTTCATAGTTGATTTTCGAGGCTTTCCGAGTTGAACAAAAGCTTTAAAAGCTCAAAGTGGTCTTAAGCTTGGTGGGAGAGGAAAAGCGCGCATCTCGTGTTTGCAGATCTGCGCGTTTCTATTTCATACAAACTTTCGTATCAAACCGTTCTTCGAAACATCCCAACTAAAACGTGTTTATATCAGTTGTCATCTATTTAAAATAGTCTAATCATAATTTAATTGATCAGTTCTTCCGAGATTTATTGTATAATAATTTTAAAAAAAATGTGAGTATTGGAATTTATTTATTTATGAGCTTTTTGGATGTGCTAGCAATAGTGTACACTGGAACATGCTTGATGATAATTTCTTTATTGCTTGGAATAAATAGAAAAATTAAATGATATAAAATTGTAGTTTGTTGCTTAATAAGTATATTATTGAAATAAAATTTAAAAAATTGTTTAATAGTTAAATTGCTGTTGAGATTGTAGTTCAGAAAATTGTTGAAATTATATTACAACTTTCGTAAATTATTATGTTATATATAAATTTAACCTTTACGATAGGTCATAGAATCCTGTTTGGTTATGCATTTTAATTCTTTTACAAAAAAAAAATATGGATTCAGATATTACAATGCTCTACGTGGGTTGTACTGGAAATCACATCTAAATATATATTTTTCGAAACATCATTTGATTACAAAAATGTTCATTTCGCACGTGCAAGGATTAGATATTACGTTTGAAAAATGAAAAATGTATTCATATGCAAATCATCTGCGTATGTAGGACAGAGTCGCAAAATGAAACCGCATTCCATATTTCGTATTGAATGCATAAAAATATTTTCAGCTGTTGCTAAGAAAGATGATAAAAATAAACTCGGTGCATTTGATAATGCAGAATATTCTGTAAAATATCAAGAGATATATCAGCATTTTTTTCTGAGACTTCAAAACAAATTAGGTCACAATGGTACATAATATATGACTTAAAACTCTACTACATATTCAAGTAGCTCTTTTCACACAGTTTTCTGCTATTTCACTTCTCGTTTTATATTAGTGAAGTATAACATTATATTAAATTAAGAGAATTATAATTATTATTTGTAATTCAAGTGCTTTTCTTTATTTTATTGTTTAACGTTGTTAATAAATCTTATCTTTGATATCCTTATTACTAGAACTAAATAATTTTATTATTTACAATATCGAGGCTTCAACATATTATTGTACAAAATAAGTATAAGTTTACGTTTTTTTTAAATTTATGAATTTTATTTCACTTTACAAATATTAAACTAATAAGCAACTTTAAGTATTCTAACAATGTCGAACTAAATCATTTATTGAAAAAGTGTACACATTTTGTGTACATGGATCCAAATTAAACTTACATAAAATATAAAGTAACATTTTTGATTTTTATTTTATTTTATTTCAAATACAAGCTCGTATTGACTGAATTGCAAGAATTGCAAAACAATTCAGAGCATGATCGTTTTATATCAGAGCCATTCGTGGAATTGATATTGAATTCTTCTTAATATTTCGCCTCTTACTGAGAAATACAGATATAAATATAAATTCTAAATTCGAATACGTATTCTATAAAATTCTCAATCAGAGCGTATAATAAGTAAATTGTTATATTTAGAATTTTTCTATTACTTTTGTTTCTTTCATTATTTAGCATATATTTTACTCCATAGCTGTTTGCTACTTAATTAATTATGTTAATAAAAATTCTTTCAATTATTCTAAATCGATAATTAAATTATAACTTTAATATTATTTATTATTTTTGTTTTATAATATTATTCTCTTACAGATTGTACAGAGAGAGATCTGCCACGAATTTTCTTCGGCTGAAAAATGATTATCGAGTTGGAGGTGTTCGCATTTATTCTCAAGTAAGACTTTTAAAGTACTAATATTGTTAAATTTTCTTGGAGTTTGATATGCATACTTAGATGAGTTTTTAAGTATATTAATTTTACAGTTCAAGGATATGATTTACTGGAATTTTCTTTATCTAACAACAACTCGGTAAGACGCTGAGCGATAAGTTTTGTTTTGTTTTAATTAATGACCTTATAAAAATATAATTATTGCGATATATATATCTATATATATATATATTATAAATTTTGGTTTTTAAAACTAATGCTTTAAGTAAAATTTGTTGTCTTGCGATATCGAAATTTGTTTATTTCCTATTACAATTTAAAGATTATCCTAAAATAGAAAATACCATAATTGAAAAGAGGAAATTCCATATCAGCACAAAGCCAGTGAATATGATATTTTCCACAAAATAATTCACCCCACAGATTTCATTTATTTTACTGAAATCTCTTTTGACATAATTAATACCACAATGAGCCAAGGGTCAAGAAGAATGAGAAGTATTTTTGATTTACATGCAGATGAGATATACCTTTCTGCGTTTTTATTCAAATGTTATTACACGATTTTGTATAATCAAGATGTAATTAAAAAGTTAATTACATGTCAAGAAATTTACAAACAAATCATGAAATAGATGTAATCTGCTTGGTGAATTATTTATATCCAAATATATGCACTTGATACGTATTTTTTGAGGTCGGTTTTTAGAATAATAACACATTATATATACTTATTGATTTTTGAGTTCAAATCTGTATAAGAACATTAAACTTAATGCATTTCCTAACGATACCTTAATGCAAAGTCGATGACTTAATATTGATACTGAATGCTTAATAAAATCATAGCTGATGTTACATAATGGACAATTATGTAAATACATGTAGAGTATGTTCAATTTTCAATTTACCTCACTTGATATTGAAACGATAACTTGTATTTAGTTTGATTTTACAAAATTTAATAATTTATTTTTTCTTATAAACTTTACATAGTTTAATTACGTATCAGTATATATATTCCTTTGTATTTAATTTATGAATGATATAAATATATTTATCTAGTAATAATCTCGAGCTATTTTCAACGCTAATTTGATAAATAAACAGTAAATCACTCTTAAAATAAAATAGACCTTCGTAATTTAATAGAGTCTGACCGACTTTCTTTGAGTTTCTTTGATCTCTTAAAGAACTTGTGAATTAAATATGTGCGGGGTATATATGTATATATGTATATATATATATATATATATATATATATATATATATATGATATATATATATATGATTTAAATTTATTTCAATATAATCAAAGCAAATATGTGCCATTTAATAAGAATAATTATTACCAAGAATTGCTATTTAAATAGTCTATTCTCTATTGAATATTGTATAACAAAAACAGAAAAAATGTGGCATGACAAAATTTCACATCGACCCGAATGCTGCTACAATTTTTGTGTTTTAGGAATGGAATTTTAACAGAATTTTCTATAAAAGAATGCAATTGAAACTTTTATGGAATATACGATAAAACTATGAGCGCAAGGCCCGTAAAAATATTCAATTTTTTGCTCTTTATTAAAGTGAAAAGTATTTATAAAAATTCACACTTAAAAATATAATGACAAAGAAGAAGCAAGTTTTATGGTGTTTTTACTTTAATAAACAAAATATTTTTGGTTTTACGAATAATATTATAAGTAACTTGGAAGGTACATTCATTAATCATAAATAATCAATCATTAATCAACTTAATTCCACAGAATAAAAGTACGATGCAGAAACCTTAACCATTAAGAGTGTTGTGTTTCAAAACTTTTTCACCAGACTGATTAAGTAAATTAATTTCTAAGCTCTTATGTGAACACCAAATTGATTTTTACGAAAATGTTAGTAGACGAATGTAGAATACTTAAATTATTATATCGAATCAATCTTTGTTAGAGATTTACTTCCAAAACTTCTTACACTAATTCGGTCATTAATATTGTTTTATATATTCCTAATAGTATCGGTTCAAAACCATAACCAATTTATGTAATGTAAGCAAAAAAATTTATATAAAAGAGATGTATCAGTTTTAAAATTTATAATTTAATTTGATCTCTATACCATATTATCCAACTATAAAATTTCTCACATTATCAGTACGATAACGTGACTTTTCTTCGAACACATGTTCTTGGCTATCAATATTGATGAAAAAAAGGATATGATAATTTGCATTTATAGCGTATTTTATTATATTCTGGGCACATATATCGTTGTACATATAATCCAAAATAACTCCTCAAAGATATTCATGAAATCGTAATGTGGTAGTCTTATATAGAATTGCATATTAAAATAAAAAAACGTTCTCCATACGATCATTATAAATATCGTATCTTCAGTTTAACGAATTCTTTTGTAGTTCATACAATTTCATGGGTTTTAACATTTTATTCGAGAAGGGTCTTAAATGTTTTATCGTATTTATCTTGGGTGAGGTCGTTATATTTAGGAATAAACAATTTTTATATAACTTATATACCTAGTAGACACGCCGCTGGGTGTTGCTACTATCTTCTTGTTTATATTATATGATAATTATTGTTAGCAATCTCTGCTTAATGTTAATGAATATGTAAAACAGATTGCAGAATAAATTAAATAAAAAAAAAATTGATATAACTGTGATCATTCACGAAATAATTATAGTACTTTTCTAAAATGTGAATAAATAACAATTAAAGCATATTTGTTTATTCAAAAGAAATTTTTGTTTATGATACAAGTTTTTTATACAATCAATTTTATTAACTAAAATACATTTAACCCTGCTCGAGTATTATAATTTTTTGTTTTAGATACTAATTTTATTTTTATGTTTGTCCTCACAATTTATCATTTTTCCTCATAACTTATTTGATTTGATGGAAAATGAAACTTATTTGAGGATGGAAATGGAATAGAATCAATAATTGTTTAGCCGATTTTTTATAAAGTACGAATACTCACGTTATAAAAATAAATATAAATAGTTTTTACTTTCAAATGTTATTTTTAAATTTTTAGTCATTATTTATTTGAAAAATTGAAACAAAAATTAACATATTATTAATAAATAGTAACAATAAATATTTAATCAATGTTTTATAAAACGCTTATACTAACATTTTCTGAACTTATGTATATGGTTATCGTATGGGCATTTTTTCACCTCATTTTATTGTTTATATTGCATTTATTTTTATTTTAATTAAATATATTTAAAATTAAAAATTCAAAACTAACTAATTGGTACTGGTATTTTGCCTTGAGGCAAGTTACATGAACTTTCCGATATGTGTAAATAATCGACTTAATCAATAAAAAACAAATTAATTTATGAGTAATTAAAAGTATTCCGAGTGGATTTATTACACATAATAGAAAACAAAAGGACACGTTAATTCGGGGTATTTTCTGAAAGGAAATTTTCAAAAATCAATATTTTTTATTATTGAACCAGTTTCCGTAGGACTTCAATGGTTTAGTATGATCTTTAAGACCAAGTTCTCTACCGTTTAGTTCATAGGTGTAGTTTTAATGTTAACAAATGTCAAAAAAACTCGACTTGAAAACATAAAATTAGCGAATTAGATTTTTTTATGAAAACATAAACTTTTCTTTCGAGAAGTTAAATAAATTCTCGGATAAATAAAGATAATTAAAATGAAGCAGATTAAAAATCAGCATTGTAATAGTGTAATTTTAAAGAACTATTATTCTATTCAATAATTTCTCTTGGTGGTATTTTTATCTTCTACTTTTTATTATTGCAAGAAGTTCCGCACTCATAATCAGTAAACGAATTCAAGTTTTATTTACTCAGCTTAGAGATCTGATTCACGATTACATCTTTTAACATTAGCATGAAGAAATAATTTTCAAAATTTACGTTTGTAAGTCTATTTTAATTGCAACTACAAATTTTATGCACGTAGTGTACTCGTATATTTTGCAAATACGGATGGATTTTGTTGACCTTTACCATGAAACTAAATCAATAGCCATTAAATTAAATAAACATTTGGAATTGACATCAAAATCAAAATCGCACATATTATGCGTTCAATATCATTTACCACGAATTAAACGTCAGATCAAGGAGCGCTTGACCGCATAGAATGGGTTATTGAACATGTCACTTTGATTTTAGTTAGAGCACGAGTCCTGGAACAAGGACACTGTGTCTCCTTATGAATATATATTGTCCTGGAACATAGAGGCTAAGTTACACAAAATCAGAATTAACGAGCGGGCTTACACACTTGCAAAAGTTTGAATGGGGGATTCCATTGACGATGCCAAAAACAGTTATCGTAGGTTTTAAAATAGAAACAATGGGGAAAAACTACATTCTGTTAGTAAAAAGTTTGTGCAAAATATCTGTAAGTTTCAATTCATTTTTTGTTATTTATATATAGTATTGATTTTTTTTATAAATCAACTGCTGGTGTAGCAACATCTTCTCGTAAAAATCATAATATAATTAGTGGGGCGCATGGCATCGTGCCTTAAGGCAAATTGCTGGAACTTTCCGTACCGAAAATTATTTTCTTTTTTAAAGATTAACATTTTTTGAAAAAAAAATTACTATGAAAAAATTAGATTTTTGAGAAACTATAAATTTTTGACAAAAATTTACTTTTTTTTGAAAAAAGAAGACTAAGGAAAAATTTATTTTGCAATATTTTGGAAATTCTGAACTTTTTTTCAAAGAAATCGTACTGCTTTAACTGTATAGAGACGAAATATCGAAGCGCGCAAGCGACGCGTCGCCGTCTAGCGTTTAAACATTGGTACGGAATCTATAAGAATGTAAACAAAATTTATACTAATTGTTAAAATCTCTATAAAGTATCTGATAATTCGATGTGCATATGTCTAATGATCATTTTGACCGCCAAATGGCAGTTTTTTCTACTTTTTTTACTAGATCTCCGAAACCGCTAGACCTGCCTTTATGAAAA